AGGGGTTCTGCATCCTCCTAGAGCACAAAGAAAACTCTCCTACAAGCTTTAACCAGTGCTCTGCTGAACACTGATAGAAGTCATTATAGATAGATTGTAAACTCCCAGGATCAGGCCCTCCTATCCCTCTTGTATTGAACTGTATTGTTGCTGTATTGTCTCCCGTTATATTGTAGCGCTGAGCAAACTGTTGGGGCCATAAATCCTGTATAATAATAATAATATCAGCACTGCAGTATGACTTGGCGATGTGGCGAGTCCCATAAGTGCAGTACAAGCTGGTGTGGTGGCGAGCACAAGTATTGTCCCGCAACCACCAAGAATTCGCACACAGGCCTGTAGAGCCCCTAGTATCCTTCTGGATGTGCTTGCAAATCCCGATTGACAGCCCACAAATTCTGCAGCACCCGTACTTCCCCCATTCACCGCCCTGCCCGGAATTCAGGTGGAAATATCAAATTTAACTCCTCCCCTTGATTTTTTGAGCTGTTTTTCACGGAATATCTATTGTATGCTTTGATTGATTGTGGATCAAAGCAATTATATGCACAACAATTTATCGCTGCCAGACCAAATTCAAACCTTGCCAGACCATTCGCATGGAAACTCATTACAGTTTTCGAATTTACATTTTTTTTGGGCCTAACCCTCAACATAGGCATTATTAAAAGAAATGAATTGCGGTTGTATTGGTCCGCAGACCCGATTCATCATATGCCGTGTTCTCTGCTGCCATGGCCAGGCATAGATATGAGAGTATAATGTGTTTTATGCATTTCAACAACAATACACTCTGTCATCCTCGGGGTGACCCTGAAATTGATCGGCTCCACAAAATTCAGCCCCTTGCAAATCACACCTTAACCTAAAATTTGCAGATGTCTATACTCCCCAGCAAAACATCTGCGTTGATGAGTCCCTGATTAATTTTTCTGGCCGCCTTGCATTCAAACAATTTCTCCCCAGCAAGCGTGCCAGATATGGGGTCAAGATGTAGAAGACCTGTGAGAGGACAACAGGCTATACTTATAAGTTTCGGATTTATGTGGGAAAAGATAGTCACGTGGAGCCCCCCGGATGCCCAAACTACATGGGGAGCAGTGGCAAGATAGTTTGGGACTTGGTGTCATCCTTTTTTCATATGGGGTACCACTTATACGTGGACAATTTTTATTCAAGCGTGCCACTATTTAAACATATGTTCAATCTTGGAACTGGCACTTGTGGCAAAGTGTGACCTAATGTGTGCCCACCAATAGAAGTGGGTGGATGCAGGGCGGTATATTCTAATGGTGGGCATACCACACACTTTTTCTGGCAGAGATTTCTTCACTTTTTTTCATTCATTCCACTGGCTGCATACAAAGAAAAAAAAAGAACATAGCATATATAACCCAACAAGGACCAGCGATGTACTGGTACATCACTGGACTTTGAATGGTTATACCAGATGATGCCTACAGCTGCAGGCATCATTCTGGTATTGTTTTTTTCAGCCTGCGATCTGCTTTCATGTAAAAGCAATCCTAGTGGCTAGTTAACGGCAGGATTGCTTTTACAAGCAGCGGGAGATGATGTCCCCCCCCTCCCCCACTGCCTTCCACTACCTTCTTGGGCAGTCTTGTGCCATCGGGGGAACCTGAGAATGCAGCTGGTGTTTCTGCCACCTGACCATAGAGCTGATTGGAGACCAGAGTGGTGCCAATCATCTCTATAGTCTAAGAATTTGGACGCTACGAGCATTTCATCACTTCAGTTTCGCAGGATATAAACAGCGCCATTTGTAAATTGGGAAAGCATCTGATCACACCGATTTTGGTTTGATTAGATAATGTAAGGGCAGAGGAGGTATCCAGAGTCTGATAGACCCCAGATTCTCAAAAAAGAATATATGACAATGCCCATTGAAGTTTTAGGGTATATTTGCATTCCCTGCAAAAGCATTAAAAGTGATCAAAAAAAAAAAAATGAAAAGGTACAGTGTAAAAATAATAAAAATAAAAATAACTTAAAAAAAAATTTAAAAAAAAAACTCGCCCCTCCCATGCCTGCACACCTGTGTGCACAAGCGTTGACACTGTGCCAGTGTGTAAACAGCGGTTGCACCATGCATGTGGTGCATTGCCATGAACGTCAGATCAAGGGCAGTGATTCTAGCACTAGACCTCCTCTGTAAATCTAAAATGGTAGCTTTTAAAGGCTTTTAAAGCGTTGCCTATGGATATTAAAAATGTATGCAGTTTGTTGCCATTGCACGGGGCATGCACAGTTTTAAAGCATATCATGTTTGGTATATATTTACTTGGCATACCATTATCTTTTATATTTTACCAAATAATTGGCCAATATATTGTGTTTTTGTGCATTAAAAGTAAAAAAAGTGTATTTTTTTAAAAAAAACTGCATTTGAAAAATCGCTACGCGAGTACTTTGTGCCATAAAAAGGTGTAGTACCCACCATTTTATTCACTAGGGTGTCTGCTTTAAAAAAATATATAATGTTTGGGGGGTTTCAATTAATTTCCTAGCAAAAAATACTGATTTCTTTCATGTGAACAAAAAGTGTCGGAAAAGGCTTGGTCTTCAGGTGGTTAGAAGAGTGAGTGATGTGTGGCATAAACGTCTAATGCTGGGCATAAAACACCCCCACCCCCCAAAATGACCCCTTTTTGGAAAGTAGGCACCCCAAACTATTTGCTGAGAGGCATGTTGAACCAATAGAAGAAATTATTTTTTTACCACAAATTTTTGGAAAATTAAAATATATATATATATTTTTTTTTACACAAAATTGTCACTTAAATGATTTACTACTCACACATGCCATGGGTATATGTGGAATTGCTCCCCAAAATACATGCTGCTACTATCTCCCGAGTATGGGGGTACCACATGTGAAAGGTGTTTTGGCAGTCTAGTTAAGTACAGGACCCCAAAATCCAATAAGCACCTTCAGGCTTTTAAAGAGCTTTATTTCCTCATTACACTTCCAAACTACTTATCACAGTTTCAGAGGCCCTGAAATGCCAGTATAGCACCTAACCCCCCAAAATGACCCCTTTTTTAGCTAAAAGTATATATATATATATGGCGCCCCTGCATTTCTGTCAGATGATGCACCACTTCGCCCAGAAAATTGTTGCAATAACAAATGTTTAGGCATTCTCATGTTTATTTCTTTTGTTTGTATTGGTATGACACAAAAAAGTGGAGAAAAAAAGACATATCTGACACATTCCATCCAAAACTCCAACAATGAACTGGACAAAACTATTGGCACCTTCTAAAATTGTAAGAAATAATTGCATTCCAAGTTTGTGATGCTCCTGTAATTTGTAATTAAACTCACCTGTATCAATTAACAGGTGCTGACAATATTGAAATTAAACCGGCAATCAGATAAAATAGTTACAAATTGACTCAACCTTTCTGTTGTGTGTCTCTGTGTGCCACATGGAGCATGGAGAAGAGAAAGAGCAGCAAAGAATTGTGTAAGGATTTGAGAACAAAATTTGTGGAAAAGCATGGACAATCTCAAGGTTACAAGACCATCTCCAGAGTTCCTGTAGCCAGTGTGCACAACATTGTCAAGATGTTTACAGCCCATGGACATGGGTGAAGAGAAAGAGAAATCTTGATCAAGGATTGCAATAAAGGATTGTTCGAATAGTGGATAAAGAACCTCAATCAACTTCCAGACAAATTGAAGCTGACCTTCAGGCACAGGGTACAACTGTGTCAGCTCACACTATACAATACGATCTGAATGAAAAGGGATGCTTGGGTAGGAGACGTGGGAGGACCCCACTGCTAACACAGAAACATAAAAAGCAAGATTGGAGTTGGCCAAAACGTGACTGAGAACACCAAAATCCTTTTGGGATAATGTGCTGTGAACATATGAAACAAAATTACATTCCACTGTTTTAAGAAAAACAAATGAGCCCTTTAAAGAAAAGAATACTGTCTCTACAGTCAAACATGATGGAGGTTCATTGGTGTTTTGGGGTTGCTTTGCTGCTTTTGGCACTGGATGTCTTGACTATGTGCATGGCATTATGAAATCTGAAGACTACCACAGAATTCTGGGGTGCAATGTAGGGCCCAGTGTCAGAAAGTTGGGTCTCCGTCAGAGGTCATGGGTCTATGAGGGACAATGACTTAAACCACATGTCAAAAAACACCCAGAAATGGTTTCAGACAAGCGCTGGAGAGCACTGCACTGGCCAGCAATGAGTCCATATCTAATTCCCATAGCGCACCTGTGGAAAAATTCAAAACAGCAGTTGAAAAAAGGAACCCTTCCAATCTGAGAGACCTAGAGCAGTTGGCAAAGGAAGAATGCTCCAAAATTTCAGTAAAGATGTGTAAGAAACTCATTGATGGTTAGAGGAAGCAATTTATTTCAGTTATTTTTTTCAAGCGGTGTGCTACCAAATATTACATTGAGGGTGCCAATACTTTTTTCCAGAGTGGAATGTGTCAGATTAGGCTTTTTGGCTTCTCTACTTTTTTGTGTCATACCAATACAATCAAAAGAAATATATAGCAAGTAGAGTCAATTTGTGTTAGAGGCCATCAATAGTTGGGGCCCTTTAACAGCTGATGTATAAGTAATGATGGTGCTTGAATTAGATTTGCAGGCCGTGATTAAGGGTTAGTAGAATCTCCTTACCTGAAGTGAAGGTAAAGGTGGCTGCTAGCAATGTCCATGTATGAGAAGTGACAAGTGTTAGCTAAGGGACTACATGTTCCATGGTCCTTGGCCTCAGGGTCAGGAAACGGTGGCCCCCTCTAGAGGCAGGAGAATGATGCAGTGATCTATCCATGAGCACAAGGGGGAAAATAAACAGTCTATTGCTTATCCAGCAGTGTCTCACTCTTCCCTTACTTAGTAGCCCCGCACCTAGCTACACTTACAGTATATAGGGTTTTAGAGATTGGTTTTACAGACCTTTTAGGCTTTTAATATGCTTTTTGATATTTTATTGTTTTTGTTTTTTAAGTACCAACCGCTGCGGTGAAAAGTGCTGCCCAGGTTGGACTGTAGCCCTGAAAACCAGGATGTGTACACGAGGTAAGAATTGTTTGAATCCTTGAATATTGTCTCAGTGGGATCCTAAGAGTATTGATTTTTATTGGCTTTTCCCTTATTGAAACTTACAAATTTTCATCTGTTACAGCTGTGTGCACCCCAAAATGTAAAAATAGGGGTGTATGTAAGAAACCACAGAAGTGCGTCTGTAAAATGGGCTTTGAAGGGTCTCATTGTGAGAGGCGAAATTCTGCATTATTTGCAAGATCATCACCAGTGGAAAAAGTCACCAGCTTTACCCCAACATCTCTGAAAATGATAGCTGAATCCCAGGATGTAAAGGACAGTTCAGGAGAGCCGAGTTCTGCAGAACCCCCTATATTTCAATCACAGTTTCAGTTTTCCACAACAATAATGCCGACTACAACTACCAAGATGGCGTTGTCTGCAGTGGCCTCAGACCTGAAGTCAAGTACGAGCCAGATATTTAACCACCCACCTAAGAATGGCACAATGCTGAGCTGGCAGCCACTCACGTAAGTCACGTCTATGTCATTGCACAGAGGTACATGTGTTAGAAAGTGACCATGCCATGTGATTAATTGGCAGGAGATAGGCTGTTCATACACTGCATGACCCTGGCAAAGGATGCCACCAATTGAAAATCACTTGTAATGATCTTGTGGTGTATGGAATTCTGTACAAATGATCTTTGTTAAAAAAAAAAAATGCAGCTAACATAGGAAAGCATTATAATGATTCATGCCATGAATATGCATGGAAAGTAGTTCAGTGGTTAACACCTGTGCCTTGCTGGCAGGGGTCCTGGTTTTTATTTCCACCAGGAACACTATCTGAATGGAGTCTGTGGGGTTCATGAGAAAGTTCATGTTCACTATAGAGCATAAGATCAAGTTGTGTACACTATGATCACACAATCATGTGCAAGTAAAAATCCTATGTTATCATGTTTCTATGTGCTTGATTTGGTAATCAAAGTGAACACGACTTCACCTTGCTAAGTGAATATTTTCTACAACAGTCATTCTCAATCAGGGTTCCTTCAGATTGCTAGGGGTTCCCCTGAGCTGTGGCTGATTGACCTCTTCCATGAGATGGTTCCTCTATAGTTCTGGGGCCAACACTGCTTTGAAGGGACACCAATGATCTTTTTAGGTGTCTGTGTGGCTGGCAATCTGACCGCCACTGTAAGAAGGACATTCCTTCCACTGACCACCAATGTAAGGGGCATTCTTCCCAAACACCACCAATGTAAGGAGCATTCCTCCCACTGACCAACAATTTAAGGGCATTCTTCCCACTGACCACCAATGTAAGGAGTATTCTTCCCAATTACCACCAATGTAAGGAGCATTCCTCCCACTGACCAACAATTTAGGGCATTCTTCGCACTGATAACCACAATGAAAGGAGCATTCCTCCTACTGACCACCAATGTAAGGAGCATTCCTCACAGTGCCCAAAATCAAGGGCATTATTCCCACTGACTAAAAATGTATGGCGCATTCTTCCCACTGAGCAACAGTGAAAGGGTCATTCTTCCCACTGACCACCAGTGTAAGGGGCATTCTTCCCACTGACCACAAGTGTAAGGGGCATTCTTCTCACTGACCACCAGTGTAAGGAGCATTATTCCCACTGACCACCAATGTAAGGATAATTCTTCCCACTGACCACCAATGACTTGGTTTTAGCTTTGGTTCTCTGAGTCTTAAAAATTATTTTAAGGGTTTCTCTTGGGGGAATAAAGGTTGAGAAAGACTGTTCTACAACTTTAGTAAATCACTCTCTGTGCTTGTGTAGGTTTCCTCTTACTGTACAAGGGACACACACAAAAGTCTAATAGCACACTCCATCCAATCCAAATCCAATGTTTTGATAACGGGTGGAGTATAATGGCAGAATTAAACACTAACTGCTAATATTTTCTGGGGATTCCAGTAGCATGATTTAAGATTTATGTAAAAACACAGCATCAGCACAATGCAAAACATACCAAATTTTAATCATTGAATGGAAACTTAGTATGCAGTATTTCTCATTATTTCTGAAATATGTATGCAAGAAAAACCTGCATGAGAAAAGGAAAAAAATATATATACAGTATATTATTTTTCTTTAGTGAATCACACCCAAAATAGTAAGAGCTGAATTATTATAAAGTACCTTAAATTAGGAAGGGGCTTTTACTGTATGTCAGAGCAAAAAAAATAAAAAAAATGACTCTACTCTGCAATACACGTACATTTCTCTATGATCTATCTTTTTAACAACCCTGCAAGCACAGAAAAGTATCTGTTGATCAGCCAGAAATGTACACAGCTTTTAATTTCTATTGTATGCTGACAAGATACAGCACTTTTGTGGACTAAATGGTGTCAGCCCTGCCCAATTGTCTTTTGCTAAACTACTGAATCCCTCCCACTGTCCTCATCTCCTCAACACAAAGTTCTGTGGTCCAAGATGAGAACTCAGAAGGCTGATTAGGCTTCCTGAGATAATACAAAAGGTGTGCACAGGACACAGGACAGCTCAAAATTTTTGACAACAGATATTTGTTTGCATTGATAAACAGATATATATAGGGTGCGGCGCTCAAGCAATAATCAATGTATCAAAAGGTATAGATGAGAATTAAATAAAATACATAAAGTGACTTGTGACAAGGTGCCAACATATAAAGTGACTTTAGTGATATCATGTATTCCGTCACTGCAAAAGTGACTCATGGTGAACAATAATAATGCAATGAATAGTCCAAATATGAGTATGAGAGATCAGGATATCTCCAGCAATCGGTGCTCCGTTAAAAACAAATATTGAGGTGACCGGTATATATGATAAGGCTGTGCACTCACCAGATGCACAGTTAATCTGCGCATGTAGAGACAATGCTCATGTAGGAAGATGGGGAGCGCGCGCAGCAGTGGTGGTGATCCTCGCTGAGAGAGCAGGCTCTTTGAGAGTCATCAACAACCCACAGAGCCTTATTGAGGAGGACGTGAGGCCACTTTACCAGCTGAGGAGAGCAGTTAGGGGAACACCTGACCAGACCAGATTGATAACTGGAGCCTGCAGCGTGCCCTACATGAGCATTGTCTCTACATGCGCAGATTAACTGTGCATCTGGTGAGTGCACAGCTATCATATATACCGGTCACCTCAATATTTGGTTTGAACTGAACACCGATTGCTGGAGATATCCTGATCTCTCATACTCATATTTGGACTATTCATTCCATTATTATTGTTCACCGTGAGTCATTTTGCAGTGACGGAATACATGATATCACTAAAGTCACTTTATATGTTGGCACCTTGTCACAAGTCACTTTATGTATTTTATTTAATTCTCATCTATACCTTTTGATACATTGATTATTGCTTGAGCGCCGCACCCTATATATATTTATGTTCTGAAAGGATTTTGGTATCCTTTGGTGCATTGGCTGCTCTTCTGATTTATAGCGCTCGCTTTTACTTGTCATTGATAAACAGATATTTGCCAGACCCAATGGAGGTGAATGAGAGTAGTTTATCGTCAGGGTTTGCCTATATTTAAACTCTATATGATCAATCAGGGCTTTTTTTCTCAGAAAATAGGTGCAGGTACTCCCCCCTTTCTGAGTCACCCCTTGTCTCCTCTCCTACTCACCTCTGAGCACCATGCCTTGGTTTCACCCAACCTACCTCCCAGTACCGCCCCTTTTAGAGAATACAGAACCAAGTATAATTTTGTGGTGTTAGGTAATTTGTATTGAATTTGTTAATGATAACAAGAAAAGCAGTAACAAATAGATCCCCTGCAGCCAGCAACAACACACCCTACAAAAAAAAAAAAAAACCCCGCAACAATAGACCCCCGCTAGCAACAATAGACACTCCAGCAGTCCACAATAGACCACTTCCTCAACAGGAGATCCCTCCCAGCAACATAAGACCTCTCCACAACAATAGATCCCAACCAGCAACAATAGATCCCCCCAACAACAATAGACGCTCCACAACTATAAATTCCCCATGGTGACAACTGATCCCCCAGCAGCCATCAACAATAGATGGACCCTCCAGCACCCCTTTCCATTACATATTCAGTGATGGAGATACTGTAACTGCGTTCCCCAGAAATGAAACCCTGTGATCAATAGGTTAACTATCCTATTTTTGCTTTCAAAATTATGTAAAATAAAAATGGTCATACCAAGACTGTGAGACCCCCCCCCGCACCCCCATAATGGTGAGCAGAGCTATCAGTGTATATATGGATGTCTCCATGCTGAAGAGCAAGGATCTACAAAAAGCTGGTGGATAATTCAGCCTTAAGCCATCATCCATAATTATAATATTTCTAGGAGTAACCCATTACTTGTCTGCTGCCGAAAACTGACGTTATAGTACATCTGTTGAGGACTGTGTTAGGGACATAGGCTTCTCCTCGGCAGGGACTGGTGTGAATGTTTTAGTGTACTCTGTAAAAGACAACATGGTGAGATTCCATGAATACGGGAAGGAACCATACGTCGCAAGACGTTGGTGTTAGATATGTTCTGAGTCCTCTTCAAGGACAGGCACATTTTACAAGCTAATCTCTGCAGCCTCCACACCCGGCAATCTCATCTCAAGGCAGTGTTGTCTCTGATGCATGAAAGAATTATTCTAGGGAGACCTATGAGATTTTCCTATTTCTGGCTGCCCTAAGGGTATAAAAAGTCCCTGAGCATATGAGCCTCCGCTTCAGTGCTCTCTAACACAGTTCCTATCTGTCACACACAGGCACATTGATGATACCAATGAATGTGAAGTGGAGAATGACTGGATCCTTATCAGGATTGTTTGTAAATGTGTTCATGAGAGGACAACTATTAACTCCTGTGGGGTCATTTTCCAGCCTTGACCACTCATCCAGAACAGCTATTAGCTTTGCTGTATACTGGTAATCCTAAATCATGTCTGTCTGATTTTCAAAACACTGCTCTGTTTAATGGGTGACCACCTTCCAAAATAATTTCACTGTAATACAAAAGGACTATCAGCAGAATGGAGGTAAAATCAATGATATACTGGCAGCATTTCAGATCTAGCAGAAAACATTGCTCCTCTTCATTGAGTCTGCCTGTCATGTTCTGTATTGACTTACACAAGTTGTGGTTTACATCCTCCCACCAACACGCACACCTTAGAGCATCCTTCCGCAACCTTTTTTAACATGGAACCCTTGAAAAGACTTTCCTGGCTCAGGGAATGATTACTATATCTACAACTCATCATAAATTATTGTCGGAGGAATGGTTTTTACATTGGTGGTCAATGGAAAAAATACTCCTACTTTGGTGGTCATTAGGAAGAATGTCCATTACCTTGGTGGTCATTGGGAAGAATGCTACTTAAATTGGTCGTTACTGGGAAGAATGGTTCTTACATTGATGGTCAAAGGAAACATGCTCTTACTTTGGTGGTCATTAGGAAGAATGCTCCTTGCATTGGTAGTCAGTGCAGAGGAAAGAATACTCCTTAT